ACAGGCTGACACAGACAAACACAGGGGCAACGAGGAGGCAGTCTTCTTCGAAGAAAGGAAAAGTGCGCGCTAAGAAGAGGGCCGAAAAGTGACAGTGGGCTGCAGTGCAGCACAAATACTGGTTGCAAGTCAGCAGATTCCTTAACGACATATCGCCGGCGCCACAGAGCGCCACTTGTCCAAAGGAGACCCACGGGCACTCACTCGCTCACTCACTCGCTCACTGCTGCCGCTGCTGCTCTTGGTGCTGCTCTTCCTGTCCACTGCGTGCCCTGAACTCCTCTGGCCAAGTGCACCCCTTGCCGTTAAATAAGGGTTCATTGTACTTCTCTGCTCGCCATCACTTATTAATGAGCAGCATTCAATAATTAATGTCTGCGGCCTGACGAATTACGTAATTGACGCGGAGCTGCCGCTGAGAAACCTGCCCGTGTCCGTCTATCAGGTGCCTCTAATCTGAGTCATCTGCAAGCGCAACCACTGCTGTCATTCCCGGAGAAGCCAACTCCAACGGTGCACTGATTCGGTGCTCAAAGTGACGTAACGTTTCTCTTTTATTATTATTTGTAGTTTTTTGTTTTACCACAGCATTGGATTGTAGTGTACAACAAATATTATAACGAACATTGTCGCAGGTTATCACAGGATTTGGAGTTGAACAGTGGAATATATTTTTTGCTGAGCACAGCGCGGCACACCACACACTCACACACGAGCGCTGCTGAAGATCATCGGCGGTAGTGAACTGAGAGGAGAGAATTTGAGGGAAGACATCGTCAACACTGCTTCAAAGGCATTCATTCACTCATCATGTGCATCATGCAGGCATCATGTCGACAGGAGCTGCCCGAGGAGAGCAGAGCACCTCTCGTTGATGCTGTCGCCAACATTGGTCCAACGGCGTCCAGTCGTCGTCGAAACTCCTCAAAGTGCGCAAAATACTTTGACCTTCATGGTTTGTTTTCATTTTGTGTTTTTTATTTTTACATCAGTTGTCATCTGTTGTCTTTTCTTTTTGCAGCGGCATTTGGCTGTTATATGATCATCTTCTGGAAGATCTCCTTTTACGTCTTTCGCTTTTAGTCCGTTTCAGCTGTTGAGGTGCAGAATGTCATTGTTAGCGCCGTCTTCGTTGAAATAAAACGTAGGTATTAAATCTGGCGGACCTTTGTTGATTTTGTACAAATCTAAACTGAGCAGTTGCATGTCTTCGGTGGTCTTTGGACTGTACTGTGTGGCCAGCAAGTTGCTGTAGTATTCATTGCAGATGGCGTCATTGGTCTCAGTGTACACCGTCTGAATGCCCAGGCTCTCCAGCGCATAGTTTGCACTGGTTTCGCTCACTCCAGCAGCCATCATCTCCTCGGGTGCCGCTACAGCTTCACTGGCATTGCCCTTGGGCGAGTTGCGTCTGATGCGCTGACAGAGACGTGACATGTAGGTGATTGCAGTGACAATGACGACGAGGAGGATGAGAAGAAAGACGCACAGACTGGTGACGAACCACTTGATATGACTTAAGGAGTACGTGGAGAACACAAGACTGGACTCGGTGGTGTTGCTGTCGATGTACTTCTCCGCCTTGCGTAAGGTAGGCGCGCTAATCCATATTTGATCACTCTTTCCCTTGGAGTTGGTGGCGTAGATTCGCACCTTGTAGATGCTCGACTCAGCCAGGTGGCCAATTAAAAAGTTGAACGCCGAAGAGTTGGCTGCAGATGAGGCAGGCGTCTGTCGATTGTCATCAGCTGAGGGGGTGCAATGTTTAGATTTAGAAATGGAAAATGCAAAAAAGCAGAGCGGGACTAAATTAATGGCTTACTTGGAAAGATACGAGGCATTGGCGGTGATAAGGTGAGGTTCTGTACAAGACTACCCGATTTATCGTACACTTCTGCCACATAGAACGTGATTGGGTGAACGAAAATCGTTTGTGAGACTGCCGTTTTGCTGTTGAGTCTATGATGAATGATGATGGAGGATGAGAAATATCGAGTTAGTGCTTTCCGCAGCAGTATCACACATCGATCAGCGGCAGTAGCTTACGCATAGTTTACATCGTTGCCATGTCTCTCGCTGCTGCACTGAATGCTCACTTGGGTTACGCTTTGATTGTGCAACAGACAGTGAAACGGAAAATTAGGTGGCCCTATTGAACAGAAGTTGAAATGGTTAACTTAGATAGCTCCCCTCAAGACAACTATTGACTGACCAGAGTCGATGATGTGATATTTGCAGGGAATCACCTGAATGCCGACGTCATTCTTGGCAGTGCACTCGATGGTGCCGTAATGTTGGGTTGAGTTGGGTCGATAGAGGACCACCGAACTGCAAAGTGGCATTGTGAGCGGTTAGTTTGGAAGAGCCTGTTAGCGAGGCTCGTTGTTCCATTGTTTGTGTTACCTAAAGTTGTGCGACCGAAAGGAGGACAGCTCCAGTTCGCGTTCAAATTTCCAGCGAAAAGAGGACGGCATGGGATTGGCCTCCACTTCGCACACCAACTTGGCCGACTCAAAGAGTGACAGTCCATAGGCAAGTCTACAGTACAAGCAAACAAAAATGAAAAAAGGTGTACATTACAAGTTGATTGTCCCGCGATTAGGTGAGCTGCCTTTGCACTTACGTTGCTGTGAATTTACAGTAAGGCGCGTAGCGGATATTGAGCATAATGGAGTTGCTCGTTGCAATGCCGTGCTGATTGCCCGCCTGACACTGGTACCTGCCTGACATGTGCCGGCGGACGTTCTGCAGCACAAGGGAGTAGTTGCTCAAGATGATGCCTGATCGGCAGACAAGAGAAAGAAGGACAAGAGAGGAACAAGAGAGGACATGACCATTACTATCGCATTACACAGACAGACGGTGCTGTTGATGGTGATGCTGTTGCGCCAGATGATGACAGCATCAGCATCCTTTTCAACATCAGCTTAGCACGACATCACGGGCGAAAGAGAAAGAGAGGGAGAGAGAGAGTGTGTGTGTGCATGTGTTCGCCTGTCTGCTAAAGCGTGTCCAGGACTAATTGAGACAAATTAAGCGGCAAGCCGCAACCCTACCTTGTCGCGGCTCTAATATTTCTTCATTAAAGCGCCAGACAATCGAGCCAACGGGCATAGGACTGGCGTCCACGACACAATCGAAATAGATGTCATTCCCTTCCTGGATCGACTGCAGGGAGAGGGTAGTAGTGCCGAGCTGCAGTGAAAGCTCCGGACGGTCTGCGGTGGCGGTGGCGACGACGAGCAGAATAGGATAAAAGGGAGACGGGCGAATGGAGAAGAGAAGAGAAGAATAGAAGATTTATTATTGCACTGCCTGACATGGCTTATCACCGCTCAGCCATCTCACATTGCACATTCAGCACGAGGTTGTCCGACGTGGTCGAGTTGCCGATTTTAGGATTCTCCGCGTAACAGGAGAGAATGTGATTGTTCTGCTGCCGCTTCAGGGGCAAACTGATGATCGATATCGTTTGCATATCACCTATGGGCAAGTGCAGTTCCGTTCAGTGGACAGTTTGCGGATAATCGAAATTGATCGTCGCCTGCTTCTCTACCAACTACCAACTACCATCACGACTACCAAGCACTACCACTACAGCTTCTACTGACACCGACCATTGAATGTTGTGTCTATGCGCTTTCCGTCAAACATCCAGTACAGTTTCGCTTTTGGCTTGGAGCCAAAAGTGCTGCACTCAAACTTGGACTCCCCACCAGCCAGCAGGAAGGGCGACAGTTGCTTAATTTTCACCTCCAGCGGCTTTAAATTCATGTCCAATCTAATGCTGGCACTTGATGCCAGAGTGATGTTGTTGTTTGATGCTTGGCACGTGAAAATGGACAAAAGGTGATGACGAGCAAGCGACTCTATTACCAGCTCGTTAGTCGTAACTGTGGTTAATAAAACGAAATGGTCAGAAATACTACTTTTTGTTGTGTAATAAGGGGGTTTAGAGTTACCATCTTTGCTTTTATACTCAAAGGTGTCGTCTATAACCGTGTAGTCCTTCCACCAGGTTAGGGTCGGTCGAGGTTTGCCTAAGAGGGCCGAATTAACACTCAAAATCTGTGATGACACTTCACCGGTTAGTGAAACACTTACCACCGAGTGTGGTGCAAAGCAGCACCAGCTTTTCCCCCTCATCGAACGGTCCGATGAGGCCTTTGAGGTGTTGCTGACTGCTCTGCGGGTACCTATAGGAAATGATGGGCTCTTCTGGCGGCACTGTCAATGTGTGTGTTTGTGTGGGTATTCAAAGTAGCAGGAGGTGAGTGTGTTGCAGTGGCACGTGGTGTCAGCAGTGGCGTCACCAGCCGAGACGCCATCAGCAGCACTTACCAATAACTTTGAGCTGTATTACGGTGTTGACTGTTCGTGCCTTCTTAAAGTCCACCCGACAACGGTACTCGCCGGCGTCCTTTACCTGCACTGGATCGATCTGCAGGAAAGCTGGCATGTTGTGCTGGTTAAAGTAGACTCGTTCTGTGTGGGGCAAGAGGACAGGTGCCACAGAGAATGCTTTGGTTAGGTGTGTGTATGTGTGTGTTTGCTAAAAATGTCAACTAATTGCGACACGACAGTGTAATCTGCCGAGCAAGGTAAATTGATATTAAGTGCCCACTCACTCACCTGCCAAGTTGGGCGAGCTGCTGATTTTTGCTTGCTCCAGTGAATCTGTGTATGTGTTTTTGGTGTTCACAAAGAACAACGAGGAAGCCGTGTACAAGAAGAAGAAAAAGATGGATGCAATCGATTTATTAATTGTCTACTCGCTGGCACTAATCTACTGACAAATACCTTTGGCTCTGGCGTCAATTGTGAAAATGGGCTCAAACTTAAGAACAAAGGGGAAAGGATTGCAAGTTATTAGAGCTGTTGTGAAGCGGTGTCTTACCTCTTCGTCCTTGTACCACAAGATAAGCACGACATGATCATCGATTCCCGGTGGCTGAACGTTACAAGGCAGGGCAACCTGAACAATAGTGTTGGAAAACAAAGAAAAGGTAGCATGGGAAATGCAGATTAAAGAAAGAGGCAGTGGGCATAAGGAGAAGGAGAGCACCGCCGCTGTCTTCTTTGCTGCTGCTGCTACTGCCTCGGCGAAGACAAACGGCCGGAAAGCACAGTGACGGCGACAGCAGCAGCATCAGCCACCGAGAGCGGATGTAATCGGAGCCAAATTAACATGCCCATTAATGACATCAATGGCTAATGGGCCCGCAACGGAGGAGTTGGCCAGAGCGATAAGGCAGACATCCAGTTTGCCAGTGGCGCAGTAACGTGCAAGTCAGCGATTGGACTCAGCCACACAGAGACTCACTTTCTTTGCCTTTCTCCAAGTGGGCAATTAATAGGCCTTTTGCAATAATATAACACGACCGTATTATACGCTCTACTGCTTACCTTTCCGCCATCGACAGCTGTGTACAGAATGGAGGCTGTAGGGAAGAAAAGAAGAAGAAAAGGAAAGAAAAAGAAAGAAGGGAAAGGGAAGAAAGAAGAAAAAGAGAAAAAGCAAAAGTGAGAGACAATCGAGAGAAATCGAATGAGACGGCAACGACGCGCGAGCCCGCATTTTGCCGCCGTTCAAGCTTAATTAAGTCAGCAACTTTAAGCAGTTTTAATCGAGCTGTTTTAAATTTTGTACCCGAGCAGTCAGAAGGATGTGTTGTACATGCACAAACGCACTCAGGAGGCACAGACAATGGGGAGAGCGGTAATGAGCCTTTTAATTGATAGCAATCACTGGCACTGATCGAGTGCTCGAGCATCGATTCCACTGATGCTCATGTTGGTTGCTTTTTTGGCTGTTGCCACCACCACCACCACCACCACCGCCTCTTCAAATGCGCTTCTGATGCTGCTGCTCCTCAGCCGAGTGCTCATTTGTCGTGCTCTGCTTCGCTTCACTTGACGTCGACTGGGACTGAGCGGGTGACGCCGCCGCCGAAGTTGTCGTAGTCGGCGCCGCCAACTCAGTCTCTGGGGCCGGAAACTTGTACACCACTCGGTAGGGTGAGGTGCCATCCTCTGGCTTACGCAGCTCCTCACGCAGTCGAACCGTCAAACAGGCGCCCTTGGGCAGCGCAATCCTCAACGTCTGATTTTCCGCTTGTTGAGGTTGTTCGCTCTCCCCTAATGATGATGATGGCGGTGGCGTGGGTGGCGGTGACTCGCTGATGTTCCACTTGCCTGACTGACATTCGGCGACCAGTGTCAAGTTCTGCGAGTCATCTTGAAGTTGACTTGGCTGCTGCATTGACTTGCCTCTCTCATCCTCTGTGTCCTTTGGCATTTTCTGGCCGGCATTGGTGTTTTGCTTTTCCCCTTCTTTTGCCATGTTTCTTGTAGTTTCTTTCATGGCGCGTCAGTCGATTGACAGCACAGGGGAAAAGGGAGAGCTACCCACTTGTCTTATGTGTTTTTTTGCAAATTGTTCGAAAGCAATTAGAGCACAGCATTGGGTGCAAAAGTGTGCAAAGAATATAAAAGTTATAGAATAGAACTACTGTTGTAAAAACAGAAGACTTTCTCTCTCTCTCTCTCTCTCTCTCTCTCTCTCTCTCTTGTTCTTTCAGTGTGCGCGCTAATGGCATAATTTAATTTTGCTCATTCCATACTGATTGCACAGTGGCCTCAGTCGACACTTACTTTTTCCTCTTTTTTTTCTTCAGTACAATGCCTGGCAAAAGTCATTTAATGAGAAAGCTTTTGCTCCACTGTGGCTCTTTCATTTAATTAACACCGGCGCTTGGTGAACCACTTGGTGGAGGCTCTCTTATTACTAACTAATTACTAATTACTAACATATTCACTACTATTACTACAACCATTGCTCCTGCTAATACTACAACTTTCAGTGACACTAGTTGTCGGCGCAGTGCTCTACTCTTAAGTGCAAAGATTCACAAGGGCGTCAGTTTGCCTGACTGAGAGCTTAATGCGATCGTTTAATCTAAAAGCTAGAATGCTGGGCACTGTGAACATTTTGCAGCACCAGAAAACAGTCGGACAGTCTGACTTTCTTGGCTAGAGTTGCTGACGTTCAGTGTGACACTGTGTCATCTAAATAAATCATCGCCTTTGCCAAAGAAAAGACAATCGCGGCAATTTAGCATATGCACAGAGCATCTGATCGATGACTGAACGGACGCACTGTCTGTTTGAGTGTGTGTTTGCATCTGTGGAATGTACCCTTAATGTCAGCATATGCAAAGGCACCACTGTCCAGTCTGTCAGCATTAATTAGGCGAAATAGCAACTTGGCGGCATCACTTTCTCTGACTATGTCTCCGCAGCGTCGAAGTGGCTCTGTCCGCCAGAGACGGGTTTACCCCTCAGCGACGACCACTGAGACTGAGACTGTTTGTGCGGCCACTGCTGCGACTACTATTACTATTACTCTTTCTCCATCTTACAGTCTTGAGAGAAGGAGTCCCAGACGGGCAGACTCTGCCAACTAAGCCAGACAAAGTGGTGCTGTTCACTAAGCGGCGAAACCAACTTTTCCTTGCTTTCGAATCATCCCCGGTGCTTTTTCTTGTGCTAACTGCACTGTGGGCAGCATCGGGCAGGCAGGCAGGCAAGCAGACCAGGCACCAAGCTGAGACACATGAGTTGGCTATATATCAGTGATTGGCATTTTCTTCCTATCACCGCCTAAAAATTAGTTTAATTTCCTATACTTTAAAGGCACTCTCGGGAGAATTGAGTAATACAGTCCCTGTTATTTACATGTCTAGCACAGGCACACAGGGCCGTTCTGTCCATCTGACAGACACAAACCTGTACGGCACATCACAGCAGCACTGCTTTGCTTGTTAATAAACAAAAAAACGTGACTATGTTTTTTCCCGACAACTTGAAATGCAGGTCTTGCAGTGTGAAGAGCGGAGAGGAGCACGTCAGTGACAGTTTGTCTAGTGCCGCCAATTGCCGCTCTTTCCCGTTACCAGCACTGTTTGCCTCTCTGTTTGTTCTATTGTTCAAAGTTTGTAGCCACAAAAATTGGCCCTTGCAAACACCATGTAATTTAGCGCTCACCGACTGAACAACCGTTTCTACAGTGAGTGATTTAATTGTGTGCTCCAAAGTGATTACGTCTAGTTACGCCGTTGTTCGCTTCAGCAAGTGAATCAGCTGAAGCTCAAATGAGTGTACAGTAGCTGTGTTCAGTAAAACGGTAGCATTCGTTTACACAATCGACAGACAAATAGATAGTTGAAAGCAGTGGTCACCAATCGACAGCTGCACTTAGCAGCCAGTGAAAAGAACAGTGCATTGTTGCAGCGCCGTTTGCATCACAAAAAGAGCGTCATTGTTGGCGAGTCAATTATCGACTGTATTCCGGTGTGTGATCAATTGATCAATTGATGAACAGGCCTCAGTATAATTAGGCTTGCCACAGACGATTGTGCCTCCAAGGTGGACAGAGGGAAAGACGGAAAAGCTGAGATTTCCTCTGATTTTGCACCCACTGGCCTCTTACTGCCGCTCTAGTCAATGGCTCATTCAAATAGGCGCCTCAGAGGCAGTTGCAGTGTGCCAATCGTCGCCATTCAATTGCCAGTCCTCTTATTGTGCTATTAGTAATAGTATTACTATGGAAATGGAACGAATCGAATCAAATTGCAGAACTGAAGACGAGGCACTCAAGCATCAGACAGCGTAGCGAAGCCACTGCGACAATGGCACGCAGAGAAGCTCACAGTGCAGATTCAGCCTGCCGATAGCCAGGCGATTAGAAGAGTACTTGGCCACGGATCGTTGCCGCCACTCATAGCTTCTTCGATTGCCTTGCCACTCACTCTTTTGCTTTCCCTTTGCGTCCACTGCCCACAGATTGCTAATTTTAAACCGTATGCTTAACTGTAAATTAATTTGAACTGGTACCATTTGCGCCTCTTCTAGTCTCTACAATTTGGCAAAGTTATTTGGCATCTTCAAACCCGAACGGGGAGTGACCGAGAGCATTGCGCCTTCCCCACTACCACCATCACCATTGCCATGAGTATTATTCTTCTTATTACTGCTATTAGATTCTTTGTTGCCATTTTTGCGCGCAGTTAGGATAATCGAAAGCAGAGTGTGAAAGGAACATGGCTCTTAGTGTGTGGTACAGCAGCAACCACAATTGCCCTTGTCCGTGCTCACCACCACCATCACCACCACCGTCGCTTTGTGTGTTCGTGTTTTCAATTTCTTTTCCATTTTTATTATTGTTATAATGCACATACACCGATTTATAACACCGATTTGTTGAGAATAAATTAAACCAACGTTGAATGATAAAATGGCACTGCGATTTCAATGGCAGCAAACACATTGAGAGGATCTAAACGACAGCAGCTGAATAGGCAGTCGCTGGCAGAGCCTTGCTTTCCTTTCACCACCAATCATGCCCTCACTCCCTCACTATCTTTCTTCTCTCTCAATTATTTATTTGCCTGTAAAATG